TTCTTGAGAAGTGAGCTCACTGAGGCTGCTGGTAAGAGGTTTCCGATCGTTTGCTTGAGGAGGAGTGATGATTGTGATGCAAGCTCTAACATGTAAATGATGCAAGTTCCTGCTAAGCACTCCTCCTAAGCTGAACAACTGATGTGCCATGCTATGGTCTGTTTGTTTTGCTGCTGCAGATAAAAGAGAGGCTCAGCACTATCAACTTATGATTCATTCTCACACTCCCATGGGAGCAATGTTAGTTGGCCTGGTTGCCAGATCTTGTCTCGGAAGATTTTTGTCCACATGATGAAGAGGTACCTTACATTAGACAGTGTCACTGTCCTCGAGTGGACAACCATACCTGATAAGCAAATGTATCATGTTAATTCATAATTAACCTCTCAATACATATTACCAACATATTTAACTACAGATTAATGGAGCATAACTGAAGTGACATGAAACACTCCTGTATACAGTAACTGGCACATCCAGGTTATGTTAAATGCTTTACTGTGTAGCAAATAAGCAAATGGAACTTACAGAATGAGGGCCAGTGTCTTTTATTAACTGTCAGTCACTTTGTTGTCAGTCGGCATATTTCCACTGCTATCACAACGAGCACAGACAGCACATTATGCTTTTTAAAAGGAGGGAGATACACAATGAATTAGATTTTGTTGATGACCTGGAAAAAAGAAATATATGTAAGCACCAAAAAACAAAGCGCATTATTAGGACTGTGAACACTAAAACATGCTCTTCTGCTCTGATGCAGCGGTCTCTCTGCCTGAAGTCACAGGCACAGCTGTGTAACAGTGTCCTGCCCACAGCCCCCAATGATATTATTTTGCGCGACGGACGCTTCATATAATAACATAACAATATACTATTTATGGTGTTATGCCATCATGTCATTTCTGTCTCTACATGGTCACACATTAACAATTCTCCTCTGCTCTCTGTATCGCGCACGGCGGAGTTCCGCACCGCCACACACACAGGTGAGCACGCTAGAGCGGCTTGGGCCGCATTTTCCTGACCAAACCTGACCCCGAGCCCGGTGCAGTTTGTCAGCTGACAAAGTTATTGAAATGGACAGTGTGTAAATAACCAACAGACTGCTGTTACGCGCAGACAAACACGCTGCTCGCACAGCAGCTCAGCACGGCACTCGTGCTGAGCTTGTGTTGCGTTCAGGCGTTGTCACGTAAATAACAACTTCCAACACTTAAATAGGTCATTGCACAAAACAGCAGCATGTCAAGTGACTTTTTACTTTATTATATTCAATAAAATTGTATGTTCCTAAATCTTGAGACACCTCATATGTAAGCTAGACAGACATTTCACCTGCTCATTACTGTGCAAAAATGTACTGTATGTACTTAGTCCTAAAGAGCCCTTCTGGTGCCAGTAGATACATACAAACATCCCAGCAGGCTGTGCTTTGCAAGCATACAAAAAAGTTTCACGCATGTGAAAATTATTTTTCATGCGTGTGCTTCACCTCCGCTGCTACAACTCCATCCTAGGGGAAACACTGCTATGTGCGTTTTGTGCAACAGGTGGATATTGTAGTCTACCGGTAGAGTAGAGAGAGAGCTAAGTAGCGTTGAAGTAGAGTAGAGCAGGGCAGAGAGATGGAAGCAAAATATATTAAACCAGGTGTTAATACAGCAGAACTGGAGAGAGGGGTGAAAAATAAATAGAGGTGGGCATGGCTTAAGTAGGGCGCAAAATTATAGACGGAGAACGATTGACAAATTTTTCACTTTAAGCCCTGACACTGTCATTGTTGTGGAGGAATTAAGCTACAATACATGACATATGTTGTTTTAATTAATAAATACAGTGTGAATAAAGATTACATAACATAAAAATAACTGCAGTCTTTGTTATTTGATAGCCGCTTAAATTAAACAATTTTTATAGGGCAAGTAAAAACTGACTTCGGGCAAGTAGATCTCTGACCAACTTGCCCAACCGGGCAAGTGAAAAAAAACCTTAGCGTTGAACCCTGCAGAAAAAGCCAACTTTGTTTGTCAGTCTCTTCTACTACTACAGGAAATTAATCGTGATGGTGACAAATATATTAAAGCAGCAAAGAGCCCCAGGCCAGACTCAAACCCAGGCCACTGCTGTAAGGCTTTAATGGGACGCCAAGGCTATTAAACGAAGGCTGGAACACGGTCGTTGTCCCCATGGAGCTATGGGGTATGAAATATGCGCAATGTGACTGGAGCTGCTTTTTAGCCTGTTTAAGGTTTACTGGGGACTTTTTCAATAATTGCAGAATTGTAATTCTCACCCGTATCTTTATTTTTCATATTAATTATATTATTACCCAAGACTGACTGCGGGCGTCTCAGTAAAAAAATGATCACTCATCCTCATGTTCTGTGATAAGTGTGCCAGCTATTGAGCCTTTTGGCAAGTGCAGATCAGATTTTACTGCACATGTAATGTACCCCAATGATATGATGCCATATGACCACGTGACTTCTCCTCTTTTAAGCCTTCTTGTGGTATGAGCTCTGACAGGTGAGCCACTGTAACAGGGCGCCCACGAGTCTGGTCAAGTTTAGTGGTAATAGGTGAGTTGTAATGGAATGACTGAGTATGAAACTTAACTTCAGGAAATGAAAACAGACTTTTGATAAAGTAAAAATTGAAATAGAGTATGAAAATGAGAAAGATAACAATCATCTCTCTCTGTCTCTCTCTGTCCCTCTCTCTCACTCACACACACACACACACACACACACACAATGTAGTCTACTTTGTTAACAAGGTGTTGTATCTACAGTACATTAAGAGGGATTACAAGCTTTGAAATAACTTGAAGGTTTCACCCATTATGAAATCATCAAATCTAATATCAATAATATAATCACAGAATTGTCAAATTATCAAACATGTTTTCAAACTTAGATCATTATTGTAAAATCTTATAAAATCATCCCCCTTCTCATCGCAATGACAAAGTCTAGTACTGGCCAAAAGCAAAGGTCAGTGACATGAGTGGCTTCATCCTGTCTTGACAGTGATGAAGGGTGGCATTATGGAATAAAACAGTTACTTGGGAAAACATATATAACATAATATATAATACACTATCATACAATACACAATGTAATAAAGTTTAAGCTATCCATGGAACATCAAACAGTGTGGGTCTCTATAGTGGCTAACTGCTTTTAAAGTACTATTGAAAACCTACTTTTTCTTTTTAAGATATATTTAGATTAACGTGTGCTTTTATTTTGACTGGACATCTGTTGTTTTACTCGTGCTCCCTTTACATAAATCATTAGTCAAGTCCTCTGTATCTAAATAAAGATAATGATCATTACTACATTCTGTAATGTACAGTGAAATGAAAACCTGTATTTCTGTCTGTGTTACAAATCAAACCTTTATTAATGCATGATTATACACACACATACACACACATACACAGTACTTTGTGCACACCCTGCTGCTATGAAGTTTGTTACCTGATCTTTATGTGAGATAATTTATCACGTCACAGGCCCTCCCACTCGCAGATATACTGCAGCCAGAACCTGCATCAGCATGCAGTTTGACTTCTATTCAGGTGCATCCAAGGAACACTTTATCAGCTGAGGAACTAACTTCTATAACAACGCACAATCTGGATATACTATGGAGACAATACACTTCGTTTTTTTCCTAATGATGGTAAGAATTTATCTTTGGTGGCAGTATTTCAGTATTTTCTTCACTTACATACTGCCTTATGTTCAAATATGGTTTATTGCTTTTAGGTACTATGTTTTCAGATAACTGATTCTAACAACGCATCAGATGCAGGTCACGGCTGTAAACATTAGAATATACATAGATTATAGATCTGATCTGGGCTTGAGTGATATCAAGTTATTATAGTACACTAGTAGAGGTATTTAGAAATCCCAAAGGTGTGATTTTCAGTACCATCAAAAATACAGATGCTCCTCTTTCTGTTAAACTGATATGGAGATGCTCGGGGCGTCGGTGGCTTAGTGGTAGAGCAGGCGCCCCATGTACAAGGCTGTTGCCGCAGCGGCCCGGGTTCGACTCCAGCCTGTGGCCCTTTGCTGCATGTCACTCCTTCTCTCTCTCCCCCTTTCACACTTGTCTGTCCTATCAAATAAAGGCTAAAAAATGCCCCAAAAAATATTAAAAAAAAAAAAAAAAAAAAAACTGATGTGGAGATGCTGTATTGAGTGGGTGTATTGTCTTAAACGGCACCTGGATCAGTCTCTACATGTGGAACAGGCAGCTGAGCTGAATAAAGAGAGCGACTGTGAGTGGTGGGGTAACATTACAGGACTAGTAAAAAAGTAGTATTGCAACATATAACTTTATCTTGAGGTGATGTCATCCAGCTATAAAAGTAGTTTATTTGCCAAATGATTTTACTTAACACACCATCTCCAGTCAGCCCACTGATGTCGACGGCAACAATTGTCAACGGGTCCTCCAGCAAGACGGGCGCTTATTTCCTGTCTATTCATTATTATATGGACCAAACCCAGCAAGATTTGTCTAAGCAGGCTAATCGCATATTAGAAACATAGCATTATAGACTAGAGAATGACAAACATGTTACAATGACTTGCTGTCATATACCATATGTGAAATGTCAGGTATGAAGAAACAGATACTGCCCAAGCCTAATCTGGTCCCTTTGACCTGCACAGTAGTGCTCTAGAGGAGTTACTTGTTTTACAACATGTTCAGAGTTTAATTTTTAAAAAAAAATCTTTGTATATAATGATCATAATCAGCACATTCAAAAACAACCCAACTGCACAGAATACACTCACTTCAGAAAACCATTATCTGCCCTGTTTTTCTGAATTTATAACATTATTATTTCAGTATTCTGAATTAACCAGCTTATTATCTCAGAATTATGAGAAAAAGGTTTCCGGAAAAAAAAATAGCATTTTTTTTTTAACTCAAGTGAATTATTATCTGATGCAAGTAATGTAATGTTTCTGCAGTGTTTGGGAGTCAACAGGTCATCTTCAGAAATTTTGAATCGGCAAAAAAGAAACTGGATCATTGATTCTTACAGTATTGATGAAGACTATGATCGAGAGTTCCCATACATACTGGGCAAAGTGAGTATCTACCAAGAGTCACAATGCACAGATATGAATGTTGCATATGTCAAGATGCAAGAAGATCATTACAAAAGCTGTTTTGACTCCCTGCAGATTGAAGTTGAAAAGAAATTGACCTTTTACGAGATCCATGGTCAAGGTGTGGATTTGGAACCGAAAGGCATATTACAAATAGATGAAAACACAGGGGTAATCAGTGTCCACGGCCCCGTTGACTATGAGAGATATCGAGTTTTGAAGGTTTGAAGGAATTTTCTAAGAAAGCATTTCTACAATGATCTCCTGGATGTTTGTGTATGTCAGTAATTGTGCTTGGGATGTGAAGCACAGTTTCATTATTTCACAATTCTTGCCTTTGCGTTACAGCTAACGTTTCAGGCATTTGATAGAGAAAAGCATGTAATAGACACACGGCTTGGTGTTGAGATATTGATCAATGATGCAAATGACAACCCTCCAAAGTTTGGCCGTGACGTCTACCAGATCAACATACCAGAGGCAACATCACAAGGTAATTTGATCATTTTTTCTCATGTAATCTTTATGGCTGTTATTATAAAATGTTGGAATAAAATAAAACAACTCCTACTCTGATACTGACAGGCACTATACTGACTACCGTTATGGCGAAGGATGATGACAGTGAGGAGGACAACAGATTATTTGATTTAAATATAATCTCAGTCACTCCTCAGCCATCTGATCTCGAGTTCTACTTAACCCAGAACTTTCAAACTGGAGCCATTTCATTTAAAGGGTGTCTGGACCATGAGGTGAGAGGACTCGCTGCTTGACTGCATAATTCTCAAATCAATGACCTTGGAACTTCCATCTTGAATTTGAATAATACAAATACATTTGATAATAATTTCTTTGTAAAGTGACTGTTCTTTTGAACCAATCAGGAAGCAGAGAAATATGCCATTATAGTGGAGGCCAAAGACCATGGGAAAAAAAAACAGCTCTCCAGCTCCTGCACCGTCATAATCAACATAGCAGATGGAAATAACCACCTTCCTCAAATCATTGGACAAACAGTGAGAAATTACTTCTTTCAATTCCCACGAGGAATGCAATGACTATAATACAACAGTGTCATTTTACAATAAGTTTCATATATTTATTATACCAGGGTCCAGGGAGAGTGAAAGAAGGACAGACAGGTGTTCTTGTTTTACGTCTGCAAGTTACAGACGCAGACAGCAAAGGTACACCGGCCTGGAGAGCTAAATATAAAATCCTAGGAGACCAAGACGACAACTTTAATATCACTACTGATCCTGAAACAAATGAGGGACTACTCTACGTGAAAAAGGTATTTTTTTGACTGTTATCATACACACACTGACCTCTTTAAGCTACAGTACAATAATCATTTGAAACTACGTTTTGAAAAAAATGCACGGCACCACCACAAGCTCCTAAAAACCTTTGTATCTACAAATAACATTAGCTGAAACATTTAGCATTATGTCAATGCACAGTCAATCATAGTGGATTTAAACTACCTGCTGTGATGAATGATGTGACTACCCAGTCTCGCACCCCACTCGTTGAAATACCAATGCTTGATCAGCAGCCCTCAGCATCAGATACCAACACACAGAGGCATCCATAAGTGGCGGTATGAGACAGTGGCAGCATTTTTTGAACATTCCGGCAACTGCTGTTGTATCAACAAGCAAACAAGCAAGAAAGTCTGCATAGGGTGGGTGGGAGTGGGTCAAACAGACCCGGGGACTTTCATCCACGAGGGCGCTGTTCGTGTCCCGTGTAAAACCAAATGTCAATTAAGTTATTTTAATAATAATGTAGTGTGCTAGGCTGGACAAATAATCGTCTGGTGATCACGATTACAATTTTGAGGTCAAACAATTGCAAAATTAATGAAATCAAGGGTAAACTGGAGATGTTATTTTGTCTTCTACGGAAGCCACGCATGTGCAATACTACCCCCTCCCCTCCTCTCTTCACTCCATAAGCCAGTCAAGTAGGTGAACTATGAATAATGCCAGGGGCAGGTGACCATGTAGAGACAGAAATGACATGCCGTCGTGGAAACAATGTAAGTCATCACATGCGCCGCATAACTGTTTGCATAATCGTGATTTCAATTTTGACCCAAATAATCGTGATTATGATTTTTTCCATAATCAAGCCTAATGTGTAGCATACAATGCTCATGACATATGTCACATGATGTTATATTATGTTAGTAACAAACACTTATTTTAAACCAAACCCTGATGTTTTTTTTCCAAACCTTAGCACATGCTTTTGTTGCCTAAACCCAAGGAAGTAAACTTAAAAACAAAGCATTTTACCTTCTACAGCCTGAGTTTATTTTGAAAAGGCACCAATATGCATTTAACTAGCAGAAACTGTTCCTTTCCTGTGAAAAATATAGTTCATTTATCAAGCGTAAATTGATACCCTGTCCCTTAGCATTAAGAACTGACGCAGGAGGGATACCTATGAGTCATATTTTTGATGTGTAGGTCCACTGACTCAACTAATGGCAGAGCAGGAACTTCATCACCTGGGCCGTATCTTTGTTGTTCAACCTTGCGATCATACAGTCGTTTAATTTTTCCCCGCGCAATTTTCAAGTTTTCTTAAGCCAATTCACCTGCCTCATAAAGCCTTTGTTTAAACCCATTTACATAGTCTAGCACATTTTGCTCAGGTCTGGAGGACTTCCATCTATCTTGTATAATGGCCAGAGGGTCACTCACTGTGTGCCTGAAGAGAAGGTCAATAAGGCTAAAACTGTGCTTTATTGCACAACCTTTCTAGTCGCCAATAAACCCAAGGCAGCCCCTCCTCCCAATTGGCTCTTAGCTCAGTACAATAAGCACAAATCGGAGATTTCAAATGCTGATGAAATCGCTCAAGTGCACCTTGACTCTGAGGATGATAAACTAAAGACTTTTGACCAGGAGCAGTTTATGAACCTGCTCAAATAGTCGAGATGTAAAGTTGGAGCCCTGATCATTCTGAATTATTTTGGGAACCCCAAACACAGACATGAACTGAGTGAGAGCCTTAACCACAGATCTTGCAGAGATTGTATGCAGAGGATAAGCAGATGAATATTTACTGGTGTGACACATTACTTTTAGCACATAGCTACAGACAGACTTCGATTGAGGCAGCAGACCAACGGCCAGAACACAGAATGGTGTTCAAATGGCTGGTTTACTACCAGAATGGGTTGTAACAGCACAGATGTAATAGTTTGATTTGGTTTTCCTGTTAACTGACAGATGTGACAGGTCTTAATGCTTGTGTAAATGTCCCTTTTTAACAGTGGCCAAAAAAGTAATTCAGTCATAAGTTTTCATCACACTCATATGACCAGCTGTACTGTCGTGAGCAGTTTTGAGCCCAGACTGTCTATACTTCATGGGCAAACCCACCGGCTACACAAACCCACAAGCCACATTTTCCCCATAAAAGGACCCACCTCCTCATTAGCAGAACATCCTGACGAAAATACACTGGAGACTTTTTCTCCACCTCATACATTGGCACTACACAGTCAAACAGTTGCCTCAGTTCTGTATGGGACACAGACAATAGTAAGGACAAAGCAAATCTGACATTGCCTTTGTGTAACTTAGATTTCACTTCACTTACAGAGGCAGTCATGGACCGTGTCGCTGTGCAAACTGAAGATACTATCTGATTTAGTGCATCAAAAACCTGATGATTTTCAGAAGATGCAATATTACGCGCCCTTGTTTGCTCATCAGGCCATATACGTGCACCAGCAACATCATTACCTAGGATGACATCAACCCCCTTGACAGGCAACTCTGGCCACACCCCAACATCAACGTCCACCCGTACAAATTTAGAAAACAAAAACATCTTATGCACAGGAACAAACAGTGTTGTTAAACCCATTCCTTGAACAGGGACACAACTTCCTATGTCTGATTGGGATAAATAAGGCAGAACTGACTCTCGTACAAAAGTATCCAGGGCACCAGAATCTCACAGTATTTTAACAGCAACTTTTTCATCACTGCCCACTGGAGATACAAACCCTTCAGAAATGAATGGTGCATATCCTGCTGCATCTCTGCTGCACCCAAAGTTTTAGTTTCCATCTGAAAAGGAGACACCAAATTGTTTGTTGAGGCCACTAGCACAGTCAATCCAGTAGACTTAGCTTGTGACCAGCCTTCCTGTGTTTTCAAAGATGGACATTCCCTTTTCCAATGTCCAACCTTTTTAGTAATTACAAATTTTATCATTTTTCACGAGAGTCTGTAACTTGCTTAGGAAAAGCTGAATCAAAACTAGACGAGCCCTGTCAGCAATAGCTTCTGGACCAAAGACATTCTGTTTCTGATTACCAAAGATGCATTTTTGTGTCAATACATATTCATTTGAGTCTTTGCCTTACGGTCATTGATGTTTGTCGCAATATAGCTGGGTACGGACTGTTTAAATTGTTCAAGAATAACCAGGTTGCACAGTTCCTCAAATGAACCAACACTGGATGCGGAACACCAATGACTCATCTGCATAACCAAATCCCAAGCAAATTCCACGTGTTTGCCAGTTAGATTTTTTTCTACTTCCTTAAACCTTGTCTGTAAGCCTCTGGAACCAATTCATAGGCCTTCAAGACTGCGGCTTTTCCCTTAGCGTAGTCTTTACAGTCTTCAGTTGTTAAAGCTGCATATGCCCCTTGGGCTTTACCAGTAAAATCACACTATAACATTAAGGTGCGGTCCTGATCAGGCCAATTTCTATAATCTGCAAGCTGCTCAAACATACACAAGTATGTATCTGGGTCTTTGTCATTGAGCTGAAGAATGGTCAATCAACTCACTGACTGACATTTTTCCTTCCTTTAACAAGTCATTTATATTTCTCTGTCTTGAGTTTTTCCTGCTCAGTTTTTTGTTTGATTACTTACTTCTAATTCTCTCTGTTGTATTACTTTTCCATGCTACAGCTGCATCACCAACAGCTCTTTTTACTGCTTAAATGTTAGACTAGTCATTGAAGACAGACACACTAGGCAGTTGCTTAGGTTTTTCACTTACCAAATCCCCCCTTCCATCAGACTGGCTTTCAGAATGCTCTTCAGTGTCCTTCTGACGGTTTGCCCCAATTTCAATGTTATAATGGTCAGTCATCTTCAACCATTGCTCTTTAGTACATTGTTCCAACAATGTTTCCAAGGGCTCACAAAAGACCAAATCACAACCTTTGGGTCTTTTTCATGTGAGCTGGGCTGGAAGGCAAAGCTTTCGATTTACTGGTCCATCGACGTCCCAAACCTCACCTATGGTCATGAGCTACGGGTAATGACCATGAGAATGAGGTGGCGGATACAAGCAGCTGAAATGCGTTTCCTCCATGGGGTGGCTGGGCTCAGCCTTAGAGATAGAGTAAGGAGCTCGGACATCCAGATGGCGCTCGGAGTAGAGCTGCTGCTCCTTCGCGTCGATAGGGCTCAGTTGAGGTGGTTCAGGCATCTGATCAGGATGCCTCCTGGGCGCCTCCCATTGGAGGTGTTCCGGGCACATCCCACTGGTAGGAGGCCCGGGGGAGACCCAGAACACGCTGGAGGGATTATATATCTCATCTGGCCTGGGAACACCTTGGGGTCCCCCAGAAGGAGCTCGAAAGCATTGTTGGGGAGAGGGATGTCTGGAATACTTATACATAGCAGTTTATACAGCTGAGGAGCAGCAGCACAGATGGTATAAGTTAATCAATGATGAAGTTCCTGCTTCCCTCCTTAAAGGGAAAGACATCCAAAACAGGAAACAAAAGAGCTGTCACCAAGCATTGGTATTTGATGAGTTGGGAGTGAGAATGTGTTGGATATGACGTTACATTATGGCACAAATTTCAATATTAAACCAACATTCAATTCTCACCTCTTTTACAGCATCTGAACTATGAAGACAGCTCTCTGAGGACCTTGACTATCAGTGTGGAGAATGAGATCCCCTATCAAACATGCAAAGTGGTGAGTCGCAGCAGTAGTCTTTGGAAAGTAGAAACTATTGGTGGTGAGACTGTGACAGAGACAACACGGTTGTCCACCCGCCAAGTGACAGTGACTGTGGAGGATGTCAATGAGGCTCCAATCTTCAAACCACCTAACAAAATGGTTTCGGTGGTCGAGAATGGCGATGTGGGCCAGTATCTGTGGACATCCACAGCGAAAGACCCTGATGCCACCAACACAGTTGTGTAAGTCATGGGGAGACTAGCTACATGTCCATCTTACAGAACAATAATCATTAGTATGTCAGTGGAGAACTTGAAAATGTCTAACACCACACACATACTATGTGTGTTTCAGATACAGAAAAGGAGATGATCCAGCTGGTTGGATTACAGTGGACACCAAGACTGGAAAAATAACCACAACGAAGATCATAGACCGAGAGTCATCCTATGTGAAAAACAATATCTATACAGTCACAATATTGGCTGTTGACAATGGTATGACATACAGGAGTATTTACACGCTGTTATTAATCACAGTTTCTTTATCACATCACTGTAAATGCACAACATGTGTTTTTGTTCAACAGGTCAACCTCTGATGACAGGCACTGCAACCCTGACCATCCATGTCTCTGATAAGAATGACAATGCTCCATTCCTGCCTGTAGGCACAATCGACATGTGCCAATCTGATGGACTCTCTCGGGCCAACATCACAGCCATGGACCTAGATGAAGATCCCTATAGTGGACCTTTCACCTTTAAGCTCCAGGGAAATGAGAAGGGGTATTGGAAGCTTGACCCTACACGAGGTAAGCTCTCACTTTGACAGTTCCTTCAAACAGAGCCAAGATCAATAACAGCAAATAATGTCACCACTATTAAAACAAACCTCTAAGTCTACTTCACACAGCATGTCATAATGAATCTTACAGGGTATTCAGTCAACTTGGTGAAAGAGAACACAGTTCATTCTGGACATTATGAGCTGTTGCTGGAAATGTCCGACCTTCAGGGCAACACAGCCGTACACAACCTGTCGGTTACTGTGTGTAACTGCATGGATCCAGCGAAGCCTAACTGTCGTATTCGCAAAGCTGCTGGCTCCACAATCGGAGGAGGAGCACTTGGGATCATTTTTTTAGGCATTCTACTGCTTGCAGGTAGGACGCATGTCAAAAATACTTTGAATTGTTAATGTCGTGTGAAAATTGTCTTTTATTTGTGTGAAAAGTTAAAAAAGAAAGCAAAGACAATTTTCACAGTCACACACTATCCTCTAAATTAAACATATAATAAGTGAATTTTGTATTCTGCATAAACCCTTCAAATGGTAAAAGACTAATAGCCTCATGTGAGACATAAAATGTGTTGTTGCATGTTTTGATTTGTGAGTGTGGTCTTTGTGTCCAAGGTGTGCTACTTTTGGTTTTTCTGATGTCATGTAAGAGAGAGAAAATACCGATCCCAGATGGCGA